GCTGTATTCTCTCCATGTAGCCAGTGCAGTCTTCAGGACCAGCCTATGGTATGCATGGTTGAAGACCAGCCCTTGTGAAGAGCATGGAAGTACCTTAGCTTGGTCTGCACTGCCCCACTATAGCCAACTGAGTAATGAGTAAGTAGCTTCGTTAATCCAGCAGAAGTCAGGGTAGATTTGCACCTTACAGACTAATTAAAACAAACACCAGCGTATACAGTACAAGCTTGTGAGAGCTGAAGCTTGCTTCATCAGATGCTGGGAAAGGACGTGTAGAAATCAGAATATCAAACAAGTAATGTGAGACTCCAGCCCTCCCTAGTCAGAATGATGGATTAGCCTCGTGTTGGGTCAACTGGTGCAGTATGTAATCAGCTCTGCTTGTTACAGCACTTGTCTGCCTGGAAGAGGCTGTTTAATTCCATCTCAACTCTGGACAAGGTGAAATGGGGACTCTCCTGTATGAGCTTGGTCCTGGGACTTATCACAGGGAGCTGAGTATACTCTGAACTAGCTCCAATTTTAGGACAGTGTCCTTTGTAGCTTTGTGATGCAACATTGCAGTCTCACTGCAGAACACTCTTGTGAGACCTGCATGTATGTCTTGTGATGTTGTGATTCCAGGCCACAAAGCTGTGGGGCTGTATTCAGATGTAGGAAAGCTGCTGAACTGCCCATGCTGGAGCTGGTTATAGAGCAATCATGATAAATGCACAAGGAGGGATGAAAAATGTCCATTCCCTGGAGGGAGAAGAGGCTGGGAGTGCACAGTGCTGGCAAAACTGAAGTCAGTGGTAAGGTGAAAATGTAGATGTGCAGATGGAAACCAAAGCCTCTTGCCTCAGCTTTGGTTTTCACATTACCAAGACCAGGAGGGACTCAAAATCTACCTGACCAAGTGCTGTGCAGCTTGCTGGCTGCTCCATTTTATGAGATTTAGCTGTGGGTAGGTAGAAGCTTCCAGCCTCTCCAACATGGAGGTGCAGCTGCATGGAAATAATAGTTTTGGCATCCACTGCTTTATCTTCATCTCAGACTGGACTGTGTGGCACGCTATAGCAGGAGCTGGGGATTGACTGCAATGTCTAACAGGCGGACGCTGTGCTGCTCTTCTAACTGCTGCTTCTTGCTGAAGGTTCTTGTTCTGAGCTACGATGTCAGATGTTACAGTGAATCTGAAGTCCTTTCAACTTGAACATGTGGCAGGAGAGAGTGAGCAGCCCTTGGTGCTAAATTTGAGAAGCCGTTCTAAGGGGTTGGTGGTAAATGCATGTGCCCATGCTGTCTTCTTCTGCAAGCTACTCAACACCATCAGGTAAGCAGAAATGACCATTCTTCCCTTGATATTTGTTAGTGCTGGTGAAAAGTGTTGGCTTGTCAGGCCTAGAGACTGAAAGCCTGTTTATTGCCAGAAAAAGGGTGCCCTAGGCAGTAGTGAGGCAGACTTTCCCCTTGCTGACAGATGTCAGCTGTCTCCTGGTGGAAACTCAGCTCTAGGGTTGAAAGGACAGCTTCTTACTGACCCCGTCAGTCTTCAGCTCCTCAGCTAATTTGTCAACAAGGTGCCAGACATCGCATGGTGCTAAACTTTGATGCAAGGCCCTGCCCATTAGAAATCACAGACCAAGATTGTCAAGCTGATTCAACACAGGCAAAGGCACAGCCATCAGAGGGCACTGATATATCTTGGGTATTGTCTGCCCGGGTCAGACAAAGGATTTTTATCCTAATCCTAATTTAATAAACTCCTCCCATTTCTCATCTGTACTCAGCAAAGTATGGGTAACTATTCCTTTGAGAGATGACCCTTGCTCAAGTTTATTTAGGCCTCTTTTGAAGTTAGACTAGGGACTTATGCTTTGTAATCAGCCAGAAGGTAAAGCTAGTTCAGAATATGGTGGGTAGGGTGTGATAACTCTGCAGTTCTGGGATCTGTTCCAGCTGCCTGTGGGCTTCTGGGTGGAATTGCCCAGTAAAGGCTTAAATGCCCAAGTGGTTTGAGCCACTTTACTGTAGATGCGATCAACAGGGAAAATTGAGCTTTAGCCTCCTTGATTAAGAAGAGGAGGGTGCTGCTGGCAGACCATCTTGTGCTAAGGCCACTTGGCTCTGGAATCCACACCAGCTCAGTGCCCCAGAGTCCAGTTTAGTCATTGTCCTATAGACACTGTAAGACTTGTTTCCTTAATGGGCATTTGAAGAGGGCCCGTGATAAGGTCTGGTAGCTGAATGGTGGAATTAAAAGGTGGGTGGGGCATGATTAAGAGGTGTCTACAAAGGCATCTGGCAATGGATTAGGTTGTGAATGTGTATTAGATGGCAATCACTGTGAATGGTAAACGACAGAGAGATTCTGAGTTTGGGGTGACCACTGCTAGTTTGAGAACTAGGAATGAACAAATGGGACCAAGACCTTAAAACACAGAACAAGTCTAAACCCCTTTCAGGAACACTCTGGACAACAGTTTCTTTCTAAGAAGGACTGCGGTGCCAGGTTCTGGGGGTAATGGGGGTGTGTAGGTGTATGTTGGGTCGATGCCAACTCTTTGTGTATCCCTTCTCAGACAAGAATGGAGGGAGAAGTCTCCACAGACTGCTGCCATAGAATCCATAGGTTGCAACAGCCTGAAGATTGGGATTATCGGTGGAGGACACATTGGGAAACAGCTGGTCAGAGCACTGCTGGATCTGAGTGGCATCACAGCACAGAATATTCATATCTCCACCAGGAGGCCGGAGATTTTGTGTAAGAGCCAGCGCACTAGGGGGACTAGATTGGGAAAGGCAGCACTGTCAGTGTGACTGACGTACAATCTATGAATCTATGAATATACTAAGGCCAGAAGGGACCTCAGAAGATCACCGAGCAGGAAACGCCCCACACCTATACTACACTCCCCAGTCTGCTCATTTCACTTGGTATTTCACCATTTCAGACTGGTGAATATTTCATATTCTTTCAGGCCCAGCCTGCTTTTATTTGCACCATCCCAAGTAGAGATGGCTCCAAAATTGTTTCTGTAGAAAACATTCACTTTTAGACAAAAAAATATTAACTGTCAGTTTTTTTTTTTTTCTTAGGGGAAAGCAGATGACTCTA